TATATGTATCTGAAAACAAAAATATTATTCTAATAGAAAATAATGTCATTTCTCTGACTTGAGATTCTTTCATTTTAACAGGTGGATTGTAATGCATTTTGCAAAGTTTTGGTCTGAGAGAAGCTTTGCAAATGTACCTCCTGACATTCAGAAAAGTTGTCTTAATATGTTGATCCAGTCTCTAGTGAGTATTTCATTAATACTCTGGTTAGTATATGCCATCAAAACATTTACTCAGTTTTTAATAGCACTTTCAGTGATTTTAATATATATGGGGTATGTTATCATAAAAGAAAGATGAGAAAATTCCAGATGGCCCAAAATCAATTCTGAGAACCTAGTAAATTTATACTTTCTGAAATCACTCATCTTACTCAATTCATCAGTCAGAGTTCAGTCAGAACATAGCACTGCTAGGAAGTATATGTTGGTTGTACAGACACGGCATTTGTCCATTGGCTTAGAAGTACAAACTAAGAAATACAGATTCATCAAAGTGGATCTGGATATAATACTGAAACTTCTTAATGGCACTGTTCTCTAAGAGTTTCAGCCAGCTGCCTGTTGCCAGGTAGATTTTACTAGACCACTTCTATCATGGAAAGGAAATAGTATTTTTTTCACTGGAATAGATATCTGGTCTGTATATGTATTTTCTCTCTAGTCATAATGTTTCTGCTGAAACTGTGATTCATGATTTATTATTTACTCATAGTATATTATTCATCTTGACATTCAAATAAAGTGCAGTAGTAGACCCACACTTATAGTTTACTGGACTTAAGAGATTTCTTATTATCCTGAAGCAGTTGGCTTAACAGAATGGCAAAAAGGCCTTTTGAAGACCCAGAAGCAGTGCCAGCGAGGTGGCAGTTCCTGTGGTGATAAGGCAGGGTACCCCAGGATATAATTTGTACTCTAAATTAACTTCTGATTTAAAGTGGTATTTCTCCCATTGCCACAATTTATGGGTCCAGAAACCAAGGTGTAAAATGGGAATGGCTCCATACAAGATTATTCCTAGTATTCTATTAACAAAAAATTTTGCTTCCTTTCTTTGTAACTTTGGGCTCTGCTAATCTAGAGGTTTTATTTCCAAAAAGAATGCTTTCATCTAGGGACCCAAGAATATTTGATTCCATTGAATTGGAAGTTTGAGATTGCTTCCTCTGGGTTATCTGAGAGAAGCTTTGCCAATATAATTCCTGTTGGGAGAAGGAGTTCAGAGAAGTCCATAGGCAAAGAAGGGGAATTTCTAATAGGTTGAGCTGGAATATTAAGGGGGTACTGGGTTGTTACTATACAGTGTGCAGAAAGATAAACCCATTTGGAATGCATTACTTTCAGGTTCTGTGAGTAAAAATAGTAAAAAACTATAACAAATCTAATTTAGGTAGTGCTGATAATGAAAGTTTGGACCACTCTACCAGATAAGTAATTATAAATGACAGAAATACTTGCAGAGGGCAAAGGGAATATGGAATGCATAGTTATTCAAGTAGTTGTAAATAACAGCTATAAAAATATTCCAGTTATACAAATGAGCACTGTAGAACTTAAGACACATAGTATTCATATCTCTTTTTATATGAACATATTCATCTATATACCAACTAAATATTTGTTTTTCCACACTGTCTCATTCCCCTTCTAATATAAGCCATGTTAATAATCATTAACTTTGAATCTATATTTCAGTTATAAGATATCAGGGAAAACTGAACCATTGTAAAGAAGAATGACTATCACCCAGAGACAAAAAAAAAAAAAAAAAATCCTGTAGCCTCTCTCTCTCTCTCCCTCTTTTCCCTCTCCTCTGCCCCCACCTCCTCTCTCCACCTCTCTCCCTCTCTCTGCTTCTCTTTCCCTCTCTCTCCCTCTCTCCCCCTCTCTTCCTCTCTCTCCCTCTCTTTTCCCTTTCTCCCTCTGTCCCCTACTCCTTTTTTTTTTTTTTTTTGATACCAGAGCTCAAACTCAAGACATTGTGCTTGTGAGGCAGGCACTTATGCCACTGAGCTATCTCCCCAGCCCTCGTAGCTTCTGTTTTAGGAAAAACTTAACATAGGAGCTGTATCATTTTAGACAGTTACATGACTGTTACTTTCTCTATATGGGATTTATGTATCGTTTATAGGTATATGTATGGGTGCCAGTTTGAGAAGGAGTTAACTCTATTGGACCAGTAACATGTTAGCCTGGCTGGGGTGAGCTACACTTCCTAGAATTTTCAAATCTATGTGTATTTCCACTTAGTGTGGCCACAAAAAACAGTTTAGTGGGAGTTTTGGAGGATAGAAGTAGTTAGAGCAAGTACTTTTTACTTTTTGCCTGTTGGTACTTATTTATCAGCTCAGCCTGTTGGCATGGAACAGCAGTCAAGCCTACAAATGTTGTACTTTGCTCTGTACCCAATTTGGTCAATAGATATTGTGGTGATTATTGCAAAATTTTGAAATTTGTCTTTGGGAATATTCAAATTTTAAGAAAAACTAATTTAACTGATTTTTTATAATTTGTTATAAAAATTAAATGTTTAGCTTTATTAATATAAAATGTAGGAAGGTTTTCATTTTTCCAAATTTACATTTTAAATAACTAGAAAAATGAAGGTAAATATATGCAGTCTTCTTCTTTTTCTCTTTTTTGAAATCATCACAAATTTGTCTTTTGGAATAACTTTTAATATGTACATATAAATAGTTATTTTTAAAAATAAGAATTCTACTTTGTGCGATATCCTATCCTCAAACTGTTAGAAGTGCTGGTCATTTACATGCCATTCCAGTATTTATCTTATGTTTTACTCTTAGTACTTCTTTGCT